TTTTTTTTTTTTTTTTTTTTTTGCATTTCTTGATCTAAAGGCTTTTGATGCATCATAAACATTAAAATAGCTCTTAATAAATCACTTTTTTTTTTTAGAAAGCGTGAAACAAAAGCTCTGAGATGGACAGGAACAGAAGAGGAACAAAGGGAGACTTCAAACCTGAAAGAAACAGAGGAACAAAACAAACAGCACTGGTCAGTGGTCAGTGTACCGTAAGTAACAGTTATGCAAATTCGTAGCCTTTAAAGGTTGGGTATGTGATTTTTCAAAAGCGCTTTAGAAAACTGATTCGGGGCCAAATAGCAAAACAAACTTGTAGCCAATCAGCAATAAGGGGAGTCCTTACAGGCAGGGTATGTGATTTTTCAAAAGCGCTTTAGAAAACCGATTCGGGCCAAATAGCAAAACAAACTTGTAGCCAATCAGCAATAAGGTAGGGGCGTGTTTGTTTTGGTGATTTCAAATAACAACATTGGCTACCAGAAATCACTTACTCTGCCTTTAATGTGATGCAGGCGGCTGTGGAGAGCTTCATCTAAGACTGTCTGTGTAATATATGAACAACACTGAACAAAAATTAGTTTTCCACTAGTTTGTGACTTGCTAAATTCAAGCTATATTTTATTTATGGTTTTATATATTTTCAGGCCATATAATGTACATAAGTTGCTCTTTAGGCCTAATTAGTTTAATGCGCATGCTACTGTACCTCATATACACTCTCTCTGTGATACAGATCCATTCTCTGTTTCACTCAGTGAGGATTTTCCATGTAAAAGCCATTTAGTCACGTATGAAACTGTATGTTTCAGTTGAGTTTAGTGAAATCAGAAGGCACAGATGTATGCAATCCAAATGCAGTAACCTGCAAATGCCATTGGATGGCACTAAAAGAGAACAGACTGTAGCACGAGTTCAGAGAATAAAGTGGCTTTGAGTGTTTTCCTTTACAGAGTTTGTTGTGTTTCTCTTCTTCTTGGTAGCAAATGAAGTTTATTGTCTCCTGAGCCAGACAGTTTTAACAGAGAGTGTTTTAAAGTTTCTTCTGCTCGCCAAGGCTATACAATATAAACTGTGAAATATTACTACAATTCAAAATGACTTTTTTCTATGTGGCTATGTGTTAATTTGCTGGTATGATCAAAGCTGCATTTTCAGCATCGTTACTCCAGCTTGTCACATGATTCTTCAAAAAATAATCATTCAAATATGCTGATTTGATGCTCAAGATGACACATTTCTGATTATTATCAATGTTGAAAACAGTTGTGCTGCTGAATACTTGTGGAAACTGATACATTCTATTTTTTAAGGATTATTTGATGCACAGAAAGTTCAAAAGAACAGCATTTATTTGAAATAGATATCTTTTGTAACATTATAAATGTTTTTACTGACACACATAAAATGATCCAAAGCTTATTTTGAGGCATTAACCATCTATGCAAAGAGTCACATGATCAGTGTCACAAATGTTCTTAATTAGTGACCTATAGGTTTAACTTATAACATGAAAGTAAGGTTAATAACTTGGAGAACTAAATTTTCAGTTTTACTCAAATTAGGGTGATGCAAAAATGAGTACACCGCACTCAGGGCCGTTTCTAGCCAATTTGACGCCCTAGGCGAAATCCCTATTGCATGGCAAAAAAAAGTGTTACAGAGCCCACTGATCTAATGGCATTGTTGAGCACTCCAAATGCAAACTTTGCAAGCAACAATCAGGCAGCAATTGACAGCACTCTGATCTAGTGGCATACAGGCATCGTCAGATTGACAGTACTCTAGCCCAGTAATGTTGGGGGATCCAGTGGGGGCGGCAGTCATATTTCAGGGTGACCGTGCCACTCTTTATCACAACCCTGCTAAAAGTGCCAGTACGTGCACTCATTGGCGCCCCTTCAACTGGTGGCGCCCTAGGCGACCGCCTAGCCAAACTGGGGTGACTATTTCCCGTGTCACAATACGGCGTACACTGCAGAGGAATGGCATGCATGGGTGTCGTCCACGAAAGAAGCCTCCTAAAGCCCAGGCACAAAAAAGCCCGCCTAGAGTTTGCCTGGGCCCATGCTGACAAAGATGAAGACTACTGGGACTCTATACTCTGGAGTGATGAGACCAAGATAAATGCTTTTGGAACCGATGGCTTCAAAACTGTATGGCGTCACAAAGGTAAGGAATACAAAGAAAAATGCATGGTGTCTACAGTGAAACATGGTGGTGGCAGTGTCCTTATGTGGGGCTGCATGAGTGCTGCTGGTGTCGGGGAGCTGCATTTCATTGATGGTATCATGAATTCACAGATGTACTGCTCTATACTGAAAGAGAAGATGCTACCATCACTCCGTGCCCTTGGTCGTCGTGCACTTTTCCAACATGACAATGATCCTAAACACACATCTAAGGCCACTGTTGGATTTCTGAAGAAGAACAGGGTGAAAGTGATTCAGTGGCTAAGTATGTCTCCTGATCTGAACCCAATTGAACACCAATGGGGAATTCTGAAGAGACAAGTTGAGCATCACTCTCCGTCCAGCATCCAGTCTCTAAAAGAGGTCATTCTTGAAGAATGGAAAAAGATAGATGTTGCAAAACGTCGCCAACTTGTTCATTCCATGCCTAGAAGACTTGGTGCTGTCATTAAAAATCATGGAGGCCATACAAAGTACTAGATGTAGTAGTTTTTGTTGTGGGGTGTACTCATTTTTGCATCACACTAATTTGAGTAAAACTGAAAAATGTGTAATCTGTTATTAACCTTACTTTCATGTTATAAGTTAAACAGATGTTATATTAAACTTAGTCTTGTCAACATTTTGGAAATTGTTTTTGTGCTCATTGAGATATTGTTTAAAATGTTACTTTTCAAAGGGGGTGTACTCCTTTACGCTGACCTATCTCTATTTTTATATATATACTGTATATATATATATATACACTAACATGTATGCCAGATTTAAGGATAATATATGCTAATAGGTTTTACTCCACGTGACATTTTTAGACTCATTAAATTAGAAACATTTCTTGAAAATATATTTAAAAAAAATGTAATACCAATAGTACATTATAGATTTATAAGAGATTTTTCCTTTTCTTTAATATGGACACTATTGGCTCAAAGAACAAATTTATAGTATTAGTGAGAATCCCTCAGTTTTTCCAGTTTTTGTTGTTGTTTAAGTTTGATCACATGTCACATATAGAGAGGAAACGCTCACTTCAGACACATGAAGCCGGTCTGACTGGGGTTCAAGTCTCTCTTTCTTTCAGCACAGATCCGCTGCCATGGCTTTTGTTTCCATGTCCGCTACGCGACACGTCAAAGCTATTTCTGTCCTCCAGAGGGTCTCGACACATTGAGCGCTGGACGCATGAGAGCGGCTGATAAACGCCTGCAGGAAGTCAGCCCCGATTATCTGCTCTCAGAACAGAGCGCTGTGGTCGCTCAAATACACACTCATATCGTCCGAGGGACGGTATCATCACAGGGCTCTCAAACATGTGCAGGGCCTCCAACACTGGTGGTTTCAGCGCTTCAGGCCATGACTGGACAATTTTCATAGTTTCACGCTTTGGTGGAAAGCCAAGAGCAACAGGCTGGACCAAGACTCGCTCTGAAACAGGATATTGGCTTAGTAATGGCCGTCCTGGGACTGCAGTATGACCGAAATTACGGATTTGCTCTGCGTGTTCGCTCATCTGATGGAAGTCTTTCCCAATTTCACACACATTATCCTGCTGGCTAATTAGAACTTTAAAGGGTTTTTAATGTGCTTTGACGGCCTGAACCGATGTGCTGCCGAGACACATTACTTAAAGTCCGTCTAACGTCTCTCATTCATTATTAACGAGATCTCAGGGTGTTTTTTTAACTCCATCTATCTGTCATTCCAATAAACACACACTTAACGGCTGATTGTTGTGAAGCCGCGGCGTCATTTGACTCATTCATCACACAGAGACTTCTTACCGATAACTGGGTTCGACTCAAGACATAACGTCACTTCTGGTGATAACACCAAACGCTCTTACCTAGAAACTTCTGGAATCACAAGAATCAAGTTCTGGTTCAAATTGCCAGAGCATGAAGTCAGTGAACGTGCCATACAAGCTCTTTATTTGATTTTAAAGCAGGCCTGTGTGTATGAACAGATGCCCAGCATGAGCAACTTCACTCAGGAAATGTTTTACAAGATGCTGGAACTTTCAATAACT